TTTGAATCCTCGACGAGCAGGAAAATGTGCTACCGCGAACGAAGCCGCCCTTGATATCGCTCGGTTCGTCCATGTGCACAGAGACCTGATTTCAGTTGGAATGAATACAAAAGGTGGGAAGAGTTATCAGACATACTTTTTCGCGGGAGGTGGCGCGGCAGGGTTCAGAGGATATGGATGAATGTACGCATAGATCATTAAATTAGGTCGACCTTTCTTGCCGTCGGTGAAAACCACGTCGAAGATTCTCTGTGGAAGCTAGCAGTTGAATGCGAGCATAATTTGCCTGTAGATCGGCCTGTAAGATAATATGTTAGAGAAGCTAATCGTCTGCATCTCTGATTTTATGGCATAATTTGAAGTTGGTTTCTTTTCATGCAAGTATATCCCCCGGCGGCAATGATGCACTGCTGGACTTTCGAATGTACAAACTGTGTTCCAACATAATCCAGCTGTAGATCTTGTGCGACACACGATGTTGATTTTGCGCATCTCCGATCCATTCGCTTGATACTCAAAGTACTCTTTGCGTCTGAAAATGCCTGCAGTTCGCAATAACGCAGAGTTTGCAGTCGAAACCAAACCATGTTGTCATGGTTAGCTGAGCGCCCAAATTAGCGCCCATATTATATCAGAAATGTCGTCTCCGACTTTGTTAATTCATCGTCGATACCGCTATAGTTCTGCTTTACCCCCTAATAAATGAACGTGGGCATGATCTGCTGGATAAAACTCGCACGATCACTTGAGCGCTTAAGCTTCTTATGATGAAAAATCGTGACTTTTGTATTCTTTGGGTAGTGGGTATGTGTCATATTCCAGTGGGAACGGAACGTGCGCCATGTGGGTCAGGTGCGATTATATCAAAGGGGGGATTTTTTCGTTCTCCCCCTTCAATCCTCTCCTCCATGGTCGCTTTGCCTCTCAAATTCGTACCGACGGCGACGGGCGCTTGTCGATCAATTGTCGATCTTCTGCTATCGGACTCCTTCACCCGTCATCCAATGACAAACGACCGGAAGCTGCAAGGCTGTGCGGACAAGGCTGTGCTTGACAAGGCTGTGCTCGCCAAGGCTGTGCATCGCGGTGGCTAAGAGCTATGGATGATGGAAGTGTTCTTACAGTTCTACGTGGGACATCTGGTATGTGATCTTTCCCTCAGTCGTCTTCAGGCCCAGGGAATCTGGATTTCACTCGTCACGAGGAGAATCCTGGCCGTGGTCAGCCATCGATTGCGATCAACAAGAAAGGCAGCTGAAGTCGATACACTTCCAATCATATCATTATCTTGATTACTTGTCATCTGGTGGATAATCAAAGTGAAGCTTGATGGTACCCGTTATGGCTACTCGTCGACGTATGAATCGGTGTGGGTAGAACACTCTCCGCTGTCTTTCTTGTTTTTCCCTTCGTGGTATTACAGCGGCAATTCGCCTTTCCTTAATCGATTATCGCTGCCTTTTTGGACATCAGTGATGCCGGTGACCGACAACCCCGCTGAATGCCGACATGCCGGTATTGCTGATCGCTCTAATTTTTGCATGTTTTTCATCACAAAGCGTCCTCGCAGCATGCAATGCAGAAAATTGTTGAGTATTCATTTGCCCTATCTGTCGATCCTTATTAACCGACATTGTAGAGGAAGATATACCGCACGTCATAACATGCTACTGTTCCGAGCACGGCTATTAATTACAGACAAGGGTGTACCGTCTCTTCTCTATATATGGTTTCTTTACTCGACTAGGAGCAGCACCGTACTGCGCTCGTCAAACCACTGCATAAAATTAAATGCGCTTGATACTTGCTCATCGAATCACCGCAATGCGATTGAAATTCACGAAGAGCCAGAGGGATCTGAATAGCTCGTAGGCTCGCCTCAAGTCCGCCGTATTTACTGCGCTTTGGCGCCACAGCTCAGAAGAACTACTATGCCTGGTTGTAGATGGGCCATCAACGAAGGCGGCTGCCTCTTGGGATGGAGAAGCGAATGAGCGGGCATGGAAGAAGCCGATGCTGTACTGTTTCCCAGCGACGGTCTTCAGCGCCTTCGCAGGCGTACCCGCCAGAGCATCTGCACCAGAAGCAGAACCTAACAAGGCGACGCCGTTCCCGCATGGGCAAAGTCAGGTGGAGCCCTAATGAGTTGAAGAAGGGATGAACTCACCATGCTGCAGGTATACGTCGTCGAATTTCCATTCGCAACGGCTCGCCAATATCGAAAAACTGAGATGCTCTGCCCTGTCCGTCCGCTCCTCGAGTGTTGCATTGCTGAGCACATGCGTCAGCGTCATAGCTGTACAGGAAGGCAAACCCCATATACTAGATGGCCTGCGTCAGCGACCATCGGATCAGGTTGAGTGATTTTGACGTACCCCAGGTGCATCGTTAACATTATCAAGTGGTCCAAATACCAGCTCGTAGCCATCTGGAGTCGGGGGAGAAGCGAATCTCTTCTCAGTGAACCACTGCTCTGCTGCATATATGTTGACCCAGATGGTAGAGAGATGCGAGCTGCTGTCCTCCAAAGTCCGTTTTCTCTTTGGCAGTGCGAACATCAGAGTATACAGCGCATTTCAGATTGGGCTTGCCCGCGTCGAGCCCGGGATTGTTGAATTCGTAATAAGGTTGGCGAACACTGAGAAAACCGTAAACGTTAGATAGGAAGTAAGAAAGATCGATGAGTAAATTTCATACCACAAGTCTTCACGCTATCGCAAAAATCGAGACAGGCTTCGACGTTATAAGTGGAATAATCAATGACTGAGGTGAGATAGGCGTCGCCTTGAATAGATGCATCGCGATCTGTAGGACCAATCCCGAATCCAGAGAAAACGAGGTCGCAATTCGCGTTTCCACCCAGAGAAACCGAGGGCGTGTCTTCTCGAAAAGATATTGGAAAAAATCCACCTGCTCCAGTGCCATGGGCGACAGAGTTGATTACGTCGGCATCGGTGAAGATCTCCCGGGTGCTAACAGTGGCATGAGGCTTATACCACTTGTCCCTAAGGGATGGAGATACAGTCGTATTGGATAGAGCGTATGTCAGAGTTGTACCTGAGGCCACCAAAGCTAGAGAAAGAATCGACAACGACAAGGGAAAGAGCATCATTACTAACGATGATATCGAAAGGAAGTAAAAATGAGTGACGGTGGTGATAGAGAGTGTGGGATCGCTACAAGAGGTAGCGACGTAGAGGTTTACAGAATCAGAAAAAGGAGGAAAGAGAAGATTGATAGCGTACATATTCGTTGTTGGTCAATCACATTCCCCTTGGAAGGTCGGTTGGTTGTTTGCAGAGTATAGTCAGAACCAACATGTTTACCATTCATCGCAGCCCGTGGTATAAAGTCAAATGAAACCAAGGTACGCGATGCGATACATGTTGGAGAAGCGATTCTTGATATTGGCCATTCCGGATACGCAACTCATGACACCCCCTTCAAGTTCTGACGTATGACTTGGTAGTAAAGGCCTCTTGGTGTGAAATTTTGGATGATAGGTCGAGCGTAAGTCCGTCACATCTACCCAGCGAGCCGGAATCAGTGATAGGAAGGATATCAAATTTCATGGTACTAACATTGACTATCTGGTGTCACGTCGCAACGCAGTGTGCGAACATGCAAGAAAATGTACAGTTTACTGCTGTATGTCAATGCGACTCACGAGCAAGCGGTGACTTTAGCAGTGGAATCGGACGAGTTCATGTTAAGTCGATGTTGGCGAGGATCATGATGGTTACACCTGGACGCGCGTCGAATGTAAGATGGAGGTGACAGAGTGAAGATCAAGTTGAAGTTGAACTTCAAGACCAAAATCACACGCATGCAAGGCGTGCTACGTCACCAGCCAGCACAGGCACTAGTAGTCAATTCCTCAAACTAAGGCTCCAACCGTACACTATACATTACTGTATATATACGTTAAATACCATATATGTATATGTATATGTATACACATTTTGGGGATACCTGCCTATACTGTAGTTATACTATATACAGTTTTGTATATGGTTTGTATATAGTCTTCATGGAATATATTTCTGGGCCCCCCTGCTCTCCTCCGCCACTGTGCTCTCGAGTCTCCACGCGCATGCCCATCCTTGCCGACCCTCGTTGAACCCATACCCGCCTGGTGGATTTTGCGTGTATGGCAATGCCTGGCACGACGCGTCTCCACGCCGCACAGCGTTGCATATGCAACACTGATTGCATGTGTAGACGGTGAGTGCGGGCGGGTTGGAGAGGATGGCGCGACCACGAACGCGAGCATGACCGCGAGGCGCTGCTGGCATCTGTGCTGCCGTCTTCCTCGTCTGTCTGTGTGCACCTCCGGGGCGGGCTTGTCGGCTGGCGATGCGTTGAGCAGAGCGGAAATTGGTCGGCGCAGGCGTCCAGGGTGGCAAGCGGCGTGTCCGTGCATGCTACCCGCGCCGCCGTCTTCAGCGTTTCCTGCACACCGCCGCAACGCGTGCAGACGTACCGTATACGTGGCCGCATGCCGTATCGCGCCCGCTGTCTTCCGCCACGCACGTCCCTGGCACGCCATGCGAGAACTCTGGCTGACTTGCGCCGTTCATCCGCAGTGTCCCGTTACATCGTGTAGACTCAGCAGTAGCATCAGCAACAAAAATAGCAGAATTCTCCGACTTGCGCGTGTATCTTAAGGCTAAAACAAGGTCTATTTGATGTTAACCAGCCTCTGAAGCACAAAACAAAGTACAAAGAACTTGATTTATGTGTATTTGATTTATTAAATCCTATAACCCTATAGAAAAACCATATATCCGTATATATACGGTATGTATATGGTATACAACCATATCTGTATATATACGCCGTCGGCCGTATACGTATAGTGTACGGTTGGAGCCTTACCTCAAACTCACCTGCGTCGCACGCGTCAAACGTAGCTTACGCCCAATCTACTCCCCAACAACTGCGTTCCAACTTCCGGAACTACTCTCATCAGTCCAAAAAAAGATTCAAAGGGTTTCTCACGACGCCGGCAAGATTCGAACTTGCGCCCTCAAAGAGGAACAGCTAAGGCGGGAAAGAATCCCGATTCGAAACTGTCGCCGTAACCACTTGGCTACAGCGCCGCTAACATTTCCACCCCGCAAAACACATCACACGCTGCTTCTTATCCTTAGCATAGGCCGAATCACGTGGGGTGGACTGTGCGATCCGTCTGATCTCGGCCATCAAGGCGCTATAGCCAAGTGGTTACGGCGACAGTTTCGAATCGGGATGCTTTCCCGCCTTAGCTGTTCCTCTTTGAGGGCGCAAGTTCAAATCTTGCTGGCGTCGCTCTGTTTTGCTTGGGTCTCCTCGATTCGATAGATCCACTCTCAATTATTTTTGAAACTTACAAATTGCCAGAGTCTTTTTTTTTTCTCCTCTGAAGAAGGGCCACCAGGCCATGTACTTATACCAATGCGGCTGCAGCAAAAGCACTATAACCGCATGCGGTATCCCTCCTTGAGGCATGCAGCCGCAGCCGTGGCGCAGCGATAGTGCACATGTCCTAATATGATCACATTCCAAGCAACTGCACCATTCACCGTTCATGAAATCCCTTCATATTTCATCGCGCGAAGTAGAAAGCAAAAGCCACTCCCAGTCAAGCCGTGTACGCTTGCGGACGGCGTGGAGGTCAATGCGTATGCCACTTAATCAGTAGTGTTGCTTTAGCCAACACCACCAGTGGCTCAAAGTCATTGAAATGCAATACCGTCCAATTTTGTATAAATGTCGAAGGAAAGCCCGCATTTCTTGCCACCGCCCTGTCTGGATAACCTTCGACGTCGAATCCTGGTGGGTTAAAGGCTACATTTTCTGAATATTTTCCCATTGCTGATCAAGATTTCCTGATGCCCTCTTGTCGCAGTTCTGCCCCAAATACTTCTCATGGCACACTATCACCAATATGTCATCGATCACCACCGTGACTGTACCGGCCAGATAAAGCAGGGGTTAAGATTATACTATGAAGGAACCAGCACGTACCAAGTCATCCCCTCCAACGACGGGACGAATGCTGTTCTATACGGCGCAAATCCAGAGAAGCCGCTCGTTTACTTCGGGGGCAAAGACCAACCATTCGTGAAATTTCGCGGTCTCGAAGACGGCGATAGGATCGTAGAAAGTCTGATGGTGAATGAATTTCTGGTTAATTACAAATATAGGTGTGTTTCTCTTTCAATGCATCGTACCTCTATTCTCATCGAATCTCGACATCTTTAGGGGTATCAAGGTAATGAAAATTGGGGATTGTTCGTATGTTTGGGAATCTCAGCGGGACAAGGCTGGACGGGTATGTTTACACCTTCTATTTGAATTGGTCACTTCGCTGAAGCTTCGCTATTTGCCATGTAGGAGAAATATACGATATCGCTTGGGAGGGGGAAGAATCCACTCCTTCTCGCAGAGCTTCAAGTGAACTCTCACTCCTACCTCAGCGACACCGACCCTATGAGGCTTCGTGTCTTGAACCCTTATGTTTACGAGTTGCAGAGATCCAGAGTATTTTACGCCATCGTGGCATCCATTGTCGTGATGTGCCAACAAAGAGATCCTTGGGTAGAACCAGCCGGTATATGGTGCTAGGTTATCTATTACTCTATATGATTACTTTCATTGAGATTCGTTCCTGAGATCTTGGCCTTTAAAATGCGAGTTGCAAAATAGAAGAAAATACGTCAAAAATACGTAGGAATATTGTGGGAGTATTGCAAGAATATCCAAAAACCATATGGAAAGTGACGGCAGTCTAAGAATTGGATGTATAATAAGCACGCCAGCCGTACGAAACGATCTCTTCGCCGTTGACGCTCGCGAGTTCATCGACTCGCGGGCCGGTTACCGCGGACGATGGACACCAAAGCCTGCCGTGACTCGTCTCTTTTTCTCATTCCTCCCATGTTGATGTTACGCTCCAACGAGGACTCTCTTTTCTCGACGTCCGCTCAACATCCCTCCTTCTTTCCTTGAAGTCTTCTCAACACCACTGCCTGCCAAACACACTCTTGTTCTTGCCCAAGCGCGACGATCTTGTAGGCCCTTCATGTCTGTACGCTGTGCATAATGGGTTTGCCGAGGCGCGCTGACTGCATAACCTCAGTTACCGCCATCTCCACTCACCTAAGTACACACTTCCATGGGTTGGTCCAGATCGAATTAGTGTCCTTGCATGACGCTGGTTGGGTGAGTACATTCGAGCCATCGAAAGGATTAGATTACTCACTACGGCCCTTTGTTCTAGCCACAAATGCGTCTTCACTCGAAAGCGAAACGCAAACGGCGTCCATGGTGCCTCATATATCGATCTCCGTCATCTCCATAGAGAATCTGTTGGGTCGCTTGCCGCCTGCCACGAACACAAGGCAACCCGGTACGAAGCGCAAACATGGCATGGCATACAGTAAACCGACGTTGTGCATGAGGACAAAATTCTGGCGTGGACATTGTCGTGAGCCGGTCGGCTGCTGGAGGCGCACGGTAGACGGCCGGCGAGGAGGAGTCATCTGTCTGCATCGCGCTGGAGCTGCGCATCCCTCCCTCCTCTCTTCGTTCGCTCGCTCGTTTGCGGTCGGTATCCTTTCGACCTCATACGAGGTGTTCCTTAGCTGGTGCCAATGACCCATAATTCAACCGCCCTTCAGACTCAACACAGCTATTTATCAGCAGAAGCCCAATAACCAAGGTCGGTTAGTCATGTCTACCACGGCACTGGAATGGTGCTTAACTCACTGCGTGGGCTACAGGCTCTTTCTTCTCACAGACATCGTATGTTGCCGAGGTGCTAGAGTCGCTTATCATCAACAAAGCTTCAGACGAAGGTAAGTCGTGTATATTCTGGGCACATACATGCCTGCATCCGGATACTGACACCCTTCACAGTCGGAGGATACTCCCAGCGATGCGACCCGGTGGAACTCCTATCCCAACACCCCACATTGTCAGGAAGCTGTACAGAAGAAATCCGCCACGACCACTGACTGTTCGCAGTCAATGTCGGGGCCATCACCCATTACAGGTACTGCACGCACATGTGGGACCTGCGAGCGAACGAACGAATGCGGCTGATAAATTTCGGAAACACGATGGTAAACACCGTCTGCACGGCTGCCAGCTCATCCATTTCAGACCATTGCGTCTAATCCATCTGCGTGTTTCGAATCGCAAGAGAAACCTACGGAACGAGGCGACTACGGCGGGATGGGGTAGAGCTCGCCGCGTTGGGACCTAGTAAGCTGCCGCTAAAACGATCGGGGACGTGTTCAGCTTTATTCCTTTTCACTCTGCGTATGTATATTCTGTTCAATCTCAATCTTGGAGCTTCTATTATCTGCTAGACAATTTCTAGCAGCTCCTGCCATCGATGGTAGTCATGATTGTGTGCCATTCCACCTATAAGGCACGAATGGACTGGTGGAACTGTTGCTGGTGAAGCTTGAAGTTCTGTGCGACGTTCATTCCTCGTTTGCATTCTCGCAACATTCATGTTGAATACGATCTCGTTGAAAGGCCCATCTTCCTTCGATTCAGAGGTGGCAACGAGATATACCACCAATTCACTTTCAATATCGAAGCTCGAACAGAAAATCTACATTAATAGATCGCGAATACACAGAAGGTTGGTTGGCTGAGTCCACGCTGCTGCCATGCATATGCTTCTGAACGTGCGCCGCAAAGCACCAAAGCACCCATTCTTGCGTCGTTGCGATTAATATAACGTGATTACAATATTGCCCACAGCTATCTAATCGCGATTTAAGATTTGCGACGTATGACATTGGCCATGGAGGCAAATAAGTATAGCTGAGGAGTCCTATCACGATCCGTATGTGCTACATTTCCAGCATGTAGTCTTTATGTATACATAGCAACTTTAAAGCGTCGCCGTACGTCAAATTAAAATATCTAAAGAAAGAAATTGGCTTAATAATTGAATTTCTCTTGCTGATAAAATACAAATATACCTATGCAGGGTTCAGGACCATATCAAAGAACGTTCGTCTTCTCGGTATAAATTTCGTCTCTTCCGCTTCAGGACTAGGACTCTGACTCTGGGGCGGAGGCTCACTATCACGTAACAGAGACGCGCAATCAGTCGCGGACGACACAGAATCCGTCTCAACAGAACAGCGAGAGCTAGTATCAGAGTCTCGATCCTGGCTAGGACTCCGTAAACGGTACTGCGGGTCGGGCGCCGATCTGCGCTTGCCACTGCGGCCTTTCGCCTTCCCGGAGGATGGCGCCCGCTGCTGTAAAGTAGGTGCCTCCTCGGTCTTTACGGTAGTCGGAGAGTCCCCACGCGCGACAGGACGCGCTCTGCTAGTCACTTTCCTCGGTGCGCTGCGCTTGCACTTAGGCTTAGGGGCGCTTGGGTTGGGAGTCTCAGGAGTGAAAACGGGGAGGATGCGGAACCTCAGCGAGCCGTGGACTTCCGTCGGGTCTACCTGAACCCAGCGCAGGGGTTTCTCTTTCGCCTTGAGCACGGGCTTTGCTTCCGCGGAAGGAGCGCCAGGTTGGGGTTCAGTTGGCGCAGAGCCCGCAGATGCCAAGCTAGGAGAAGGATCAAGTACAGGGTCGTCGGCAGGGGTTTGGTATCTGGAAGTGTCCAGAGCGACGAATTGAAAAGGTTTGCGAGTCACAGACAGGGGGCCGGGAGGGATGGGGTCGGGTTTCTTCATCAGTGGCGTTGAACGAGTGGCGGTCTCGGAATTCGGTAAGGACTGAGATGGGGCAGATGAGATGGCTTGTTTTGGTGCCTCCGTCTACAGACATTGATTATATAGCAATTCCATGTCAGTTCTAATGATGAAGCGCGCTTGTTTGATCCCCGACTGGATCCACTCGTACTGTGCATCATACACAATTGGTATACCATTCGAGTTCTTTGTGGAGGTAGAAGTGCCATTAAAGGCAAAGATGACCACGGCGCCTGGTTTCGGTAAATCCCTGTGTCGGAACTCATCAAATCGATCACCGATAAGATGGCAGGATAGCGAAATTTCCCACAGGCCATTGTTCTCTCCTGCGCTTGACTGCACGAAAAGGTCAGGGAAGCCCTGATTTGTATGTCGGCGCTGTGTCG